CATACTGGCATAATGTTTTCCCGTTGATAACAATAGTCTCATTGATGGGTATTTTGAAAATATTTTCTTAAATAAATTTCTGTGTCATCAGTGGAACTAGTCTTGGTGCCAGTTGTTGTTTCATATGATTACCATCATAGAGCGGGCAAGTGAAAAATATAGACCAGTTTGGATCGGTCAGACCGGTACCAGTTCCAACTCTGCGTGAAGTCGCTAAGAGATATCCTAATTACAGTTCAAAGCCAAAGAAATCCTCCAAAACGGAAAATGATATTCCATGAAATTCCTTCATAAATAACGTAAAAACTTTAACATATCTTGAAGTAATAAATTAAATTTTAATCAAGAGAAATTGCTAATGCATTACATTGAAAACTCATGTAATAACATGTCATTTCATAAACGTTTTCACTGTTTTAAATAATCACTCTTCACTATTGTTGATATCATCTAAGAGTTTAAAACATATTTTGACTTGTTTAACAACAATCAATTATCTTTTTTATTTTCACAAAACAAACAAACAAACATAAAAGAAAAAAATTGAAATATAAATGAAATACAATATATAGGAAAAAGAAAAACAATTTTACACCACAACTTCATAGACAAGTTTTTTTCCATTTTGAGATTTACTCAATGTAGAAATGTCACTTTCTTCTTCGGATGATATTCTTCCATTAATTGAAATATTCATATGATTATCTTTTGTTGTATATGTTGATATATTTGATAAAAGAATTTTATTTATTGATCTTCTACCATTAACAAGATATTCTCCATCTGAACGATCATAAAAATCTAATGATGATAATGCTTGTGAACCAATTGAATCTGAATTATTTGATGTTATTGATGGCATACCAGAATCAAAACAAATTGAATTTTTTTTTTCTTTAAAAAAAAATATTCATGTAGAAAAGAAGATTGACTTTATTTTTTTTGTTTTATTTTATTTTATATACCTTGAATAGAATAAATACCAATTGTTTCATCATTATAATATAATGTTCGACTTTCATTTCTTGGATAATAAAGACATGGATTTGTATCACGAACACGAACTGGTACTATAGGATGAAAATTATCTGAATTTGTTTTTAATGTATCAGTTGAACCATTTTTAGATTTTGTTTTATATTTTCGTTGATGAATATAAATTGATAAAATAATTAATCCGAATACAATACAAAAACCTAATATACCTCCTAAAAAACAAAAAAATTATTTCAAATACAATCCTATTAAATTAGATTATTATCCTTAAATTTGAAAAGGTATTCTATATGCTATTAAATGCAAAATAATATTGACAGTTTTTAAGGATAATTATCAAATATGGTAATAGTGCTTTATAATAATAATAAAAGAACTTCTTACCAATTAACATTAAAATAAAATCTGATGGATGATTTGATAATTGAATATGTGCTAAAATTGGAATTGATTTTGAACATATATCTGTTTGATTAATTAAACATAATTTTAAACGTAAATTTTTTTGTTCAATATTTATTGTAATTCCATCATTAATTAATTGAATTGATGTTAATGGTATACATGCTGATATATCATCATTATTATAATATTGTATACATAATTGATCAAGTGATATTAATATTGAACGTACAGAACTTATTTGAAAATGTAAACGATAATCATGTGTTGTATAATAAGCTTGTTCAATATTAGGAAATTCTTCTAATCGAATAGGAGATTCTTTTGTTGTAATAAATAAATTAGTTGAATAATCACTAAAACCAATATGATTTTTTGAACGAATTTTTATCATATATCGAGTTTTTTCATTTAAATCTTTAAATTTTATTAAATTTAAATTTGTA